GCCGATGCCTCCGTCGCCTGGCTGGAGTGGCCGCGGGGGAGTCTGGAGTCGGGCGGCCGCTGGTGGGAGCCGCGGGTGCCCGGGCCGAGATTGGGGGGGCAAGGCGGGCGACAGAAGGCCGATGCCTCCGTCGCCCGGCCCTCTACAGAATCCACCCCCCAAACCTCCAGGTATTTCCCTCCTTAGAGCTGGCAACCCTACATTCCCCTCAGTGCCTGTTGGTAGGCAACTAAGCTTGGTCCTGTCACCTACTTTGGCCTTTGGGAGAAAACACATTGGGGCCAATCCTGATAGGGTTGCCAACTCCAGATGGGAAATTCCTGGAGACTTGAGGGATGGAGCCTGAAGAGGGTGAGGTTTGAGGAGGGGTGGGACCTCAGACAAGTACACTGCCATAGACTCCACCCTCCAAACCAGTCAGTCTCACATAGGGAACCATTGTTGCCAATCTCCAGGTGAGGGCTGGAGAGCACTCAGTATTACAACTGCTCTGCAGAAGGGAGGGCAGAAGTCAGCTGAAGTCAAAGGGGCAGATAATGGTAGGTTGGTGGCTAGCTGGGAAGGAAATGGGGTTGCCAACTACATGCTGACAGATTCCTGGGGATTTGAGGGGTGGAGCCTGGAGAGGGTGGGGTTTGCAGAGGGGTGGGACCTCAGACAGGTAGAATGCCATAGACTCCACCCTCCAAACCAGCCATTTTGTCCTGGGTAACAATTGTTGCCAATCTCCAGGTGAGGGCTACAGATTACTCACAATTACAACTGCTCTTCAGGTAGCAGAGATCAGTTCCTCTGGAGAAAACAGTGGACTCTGTCATTATACCCTGCTGAGGTCACCACAGCAAATTGACACTGTTTGCCCAAAGCCAGAGCACTGCCCCAAAGCCTCTTTCTAGATCCCATTGTATTGCTTTCACAACGGGCTTTACTGCTAGTTTTATATAAGGAGGAATGTTGTTTAGAAAACACAATTTGCATTAAAAACATTATAAAAAATCTGTAAAAGTTATAGAATAGTGGTTTTCTTCGGTGAGTTTATTTTTCCCGATTGTATTCACACCGAAGCCTGTCTTGTTTTTGATAACTTATGGGGAGCAGCTGTGGGTCAGTGGAAGAGCATCTTCTTGGTGTGCAGAAGGTCCTAGGTTCAGTTCCCATCTTATCAACTGGAAAGGACCATGTAGGAAGTGATATGAAAGACCTTAGCCTGAGACCATAGAGAGCTGCCACCGGTCTGAGTAGACAATACTGACCTTGACAGACCAATTGTCTGATTCAAGGCAGCTTCATGTGTTCCTCCCAACTAATTTGGAGGAAGTCTCCTTAGACTGCAGGTGGGCCTTTGCTTCGCTCACTGGAATGGTAGGATCCACCCCAATGTGTAATTAGGCACCATTTTTTCTCTCTCTCTCTCTCTTTCTATCTCTCTCTCTCTCTGCCTCAGGGCCCAGGAAATTCTTGTTTCACCTTTATCAGTATATAATATATATATATATTTAAAAATTCCTCACTTCCAATCAAATTCCACCCCTTCTAGGTAGTCAATGGCCACGGTTTGGTGTCCCTGAAACGCAGTCTCCTGTCGGAAAAACTTGGCCGTTCTCTGCAGAACCTGACTGGAACAACGCTCTACATTGCAGCCACCGTCATAGAGACAGCAAGTGAGTTTGGAAACAGGAACCTCTTTATCTGTGTACACTAAGGCTAAGCCAAACTCCTTAGTATGTCTTCATGTTTTGCCTGATGTAAGGAAACGGTTTTGCAGGTCCAGTTCCCTCTTTGGTCCAGGGAGCGTGGAAAAGTTTTGTGGTCATCCCAGGTGTTCACCTGGCGAGATGAACCTTTCCCTTACTCCCAAAGGTTATCAACATCTCCCTTGATATCAACTGCTGACACCAACAAATATGATTGCATATCTCCTGCTAGACTGATCTGTACATCTAGCACTCTGTATCTGCATTGCTATCTAAAGTCTCCACCTAGCTGCTGCATCTCCTGCTTTACTGGTATCATACTAGCTAATGCATCAATGATCTATTGTGATTTTGTGCCTTAGGGATGGAGAGCTCTGCTTTCATCCCTTCCTATTGCTGCTGTTTAAAAAGTAGGACCAAATAGGTGTGATGTGTTTACAAAGATCAGGCTCTGAGAATTCAAAATATAAGTTTAATAAAAATAAACAGTACAAATGGCCTGTGTGAGCATCAGGCTAAGCAAGGATATAAAGAAAAGGTGAAAGCATGTGATCCTCTAAACCCTAAACTCTACACTTATCCAAAACAATATTTAATTAGGATAGGCTAGAAATTCTTGAACTGGCTGCATCTAAAAGTCCATTATTCCCTTAGTTCTCAGAGCTCACTTGGGACTTCTCCCAGTTGTCCCTCCACATGTGATCAAGGTGGAGTCTCTTTGTAAAAGTATAGTCCTTATAGTTTGAACTTCGCTGGCCAAAAGCTGAAAGGTAAGAGGGTTTCTTCTTCATGTCCTAAGAATTATACCCTGTCCTAAGAATTTTATCACGTCCTTTGAGAGTCAGCCCCCTCTGGGGTTAGTCTTGATCTTCCTGCCCCAAAGGAAGACAATACAATCTAGCCTTCTGGCTGTCCCAGTCTCTATTCCTCTAGGTGGGACATTGTAGCAGAAGTGTTAGATGGAGCCATTTGCACCTGTAAGCTCTGCAGAGTTCTCTGCTTGGGGCTTGAATACTCATTGTGCCCCCAGCACCTTTCCTGTTTGCTTTGCTACAAACTTGCAGCCAGGTTCCATCTCACAGACAGAGTGCAGTCCCAATGGCTGAATTATCAGGTTGAATTCTACAGCGGCGGGTTTTTCTTCACACCTGAGCTGACCCCTTTTTCAGCTGTAATAAAATATACGTCAATCGACAGCAAATAACTGAACAGCCCAACTCTTCAATCTAGCGCTTGATTACGTGGGATCCTCTTGTTTCCTATGTGAACTCTGGCTGGGAATTGCCATGATAAGAGATGTACAGCCTTTGAAGTACTTGAGCTAAGCGATGCTGTGACCTCATGAGTTGATGCAGTGAGTTGAGAGCCAGCATGGTATAGTGGCTAGACTGTCAGACTGGGATCTGGGAGACTCAGATTTGACTCCCCACTCTGCCACAGAAGCTTGCTGGGTGACCTGGGGCCAGTCACATGCTTTCAGCCTAACCTACCTCATGAGGTAGGTCTTGTTTTGAGAATAAAACAGAGGAGAGGAAGATGGTGTAAGCTGCTTTGGGGGAAGAAGTAGGGTATAAATATCTCAATAAATTGCTAAATGTCCTCACCATTTGCTATGTGGCACCTGATTGGCTTATAAAACCCATGTGTTGTATTCTCAAAATCTAAACTGATGTTGTTTGGTGCCCATAAACAAGACATAGAACATTATGGGGATTGCTGGGGGGACGCTATCCTGTAAAAATTATGCTTATGTATTTATTTAGGCTATTTCTATGCCATCCCTTCAGAATCCTGCTTGAGGCATCTTAGAATTAAAACCACGTCACAATACTTAAAAAAAAACAAGCCTTTGGGCATGTAGCATAAAAACGGTCTGTAAACAGAAGTAGAGCACTAAGAAGGCGATACTAAAATTAAAATAAGTAATTAAAAGCCTGGGTAAAGAGATGCATTTTATCCTGGTGCCTACAAGAAAATCAAGTAGGGGTCAGGCGAGCCTCAAGGGCCAGGGTGTTCCAGAGGTGGGGGGCCACCACAGAAGATGCACTGTCTTTAGTTGCCACACAACTCACCTCGGAAGGCAGGGGCACAGAGAGCAGGACATGAGAGGCAGATCTTAACAGGCTGGGTAGTATGGACAGAGGCGGTCCTTCAGGTATCCTGGCCCCCAAGAACCAGCACATACAGATCAAGTTAATTACAAATTCAAGTCAATTACAAGAGCAAGTGAATTAAAAAATACTAAAGGTCAGGGGTCGTTTCGTAGAAAAAGAGCTAGGGGAACTCATTAGCATAACTCATTAGCATATGCCACACCCCCTGACATCAGGGGCCCGGCGGTGGACCTGTAAGGCTGGCGGGAGTGTGAGGAAGCCCCGCCAAGGCCCTCCCTGACCCCAGGCAGGCAGGGGTGGGGAGAGGCGGGGAGGAAGCAACTTACCCTCCCTCTTCTGCTGCCTCCTCTTGGCGGAATGAGGGCCGGAAGTGGGGCGGCCGGAAGCAGGGGGCGGGGCTTCATCGTGTGCCCTGCCCCCCGCACCTCACCTGGGGGAACTGCGATCCCCCGCGATCCCCCCCGAATCGACCTCTGCTAAAGGTGCCTTTCCAATAGTGGAGTATTTTAAGAACATAAGAACATAAGAGACGCCAATGTTGGATCAGGCCAAAGACCCATCTAGTCTAACACTCTGTCACACAGTGGCCAAAAATACCAGGTGCCATCAGGAGGTCCACCAGTGGGGCCAGGACATTAGAAGCCCTCCCACTGTTGGCCCCCCCAAGCACCAAGAAGACAGAGCATCACTTGCCCCAGAGCCCCTATCTATACCTTGTGGCTAATAGCCACTGATGGACCTCTGCTCCATATGCCTATCTAATTCCCTTTTGAAGCCGTCCATGCTTGTAGCCGCCACCACTTCCTGTGGCAGTGAATTCCAAGTGTTAATCACTCTTTGGGTGAAGAAGTACTTCCTCTTATCCGTTCTAACCCGACCGCTCAGCAATTTCATGGAGTGCCCACGAGTTCTTGTATTGTAAGAAAGGGAGAAAAGTACCTCTTTCTCTACCAGTTCTTTCCCATGCATAATCGTATAAACCTCAATCATGTCACCCCTCAGTCATCTTTTCTCCAAGGTAAAGAGCCCTAAGCGCTTTAACCTTTCCTCATAGGGAAAGTGTTCCAACCCTTTTATCATTCGAGTTGCCCTTTTCTGCACTTTTTCCAAAGCTATAATATCCTTTTTAAGGTGTGGTAACCAGAACTGCACACAGTATTCCAAATGAGGTCACACCATTGATTTATATAGTGGCATTATGATATTGGCTGATCTGTTTTCAATACCCTTCCTAATAATCCCCAGCATAGCATTGGCCTTCTTTATTGCAGTCACACACTGTCTCAACATTTTCAGTGAGTTATCTACTACAACTCCAAGATCTCTCTCTTGATCAGTCTCTGCCAGTTCAGACCCCATCAATGTGTATTTATATTTAGGATTTTTGGCTCCAATTTTAAAATAGCAATAAACCCAGAAATGGCAGTGCGCTTCCAACAGCACCAACCCGATCTCTTCTGCCAGGTGCCTCAAGAGTGCTTTACCATTCTCACTAGATAAAGCAGTGCTGTAGATCCAGGGCTGTAGTAATTTTTAAAATCCTGTGCAAAAGAAAGTTGGGAAAAGATGGAAGAACACTGTAGAAAGCTCTTACTTGCAATGAGTTGCCAATGAAGACCAGCATGGTGTAGTGGTTGGAGTGTCAGACTAAAACCTGATAGTTCCAGGTTTAGATCCCCACTTGGCTGTGGAAGCTTGCTGGGTGATCTTGGGTTGGCCACAAACTCTCAGCCCAGCCTTCCTCACAGGGTTGTTGTTGTTGTGAGGATAAAATGAAGGAGAAGAGAATGAAGTAAACTGGTTTGGGTTCCTACTGGAGAAAAAGGCAGGGTATAAGTTAAGTAAATTGAAAAATAATAATAAATGAGGTTGTCTGAATTTTCGGTTGAAATGAAGTGCATGAATCGTAGCAAATTCTGGGCCAAGTGGCTTGTCTGGCTAGGAGCTGAAAGGGGCGTAGTGCAGTGGTTAAGTGCGCGGACTCTAATCTGGGAGGACCGGGTTTGATTCCCCACTCCTCCACTTGTACCTGGCTGGATGACCTTGGGCAAGCCATAGTTCTGATAAGAGCTGTTCTTGAAAAAGAGCAGTTTCTGTCAGAGCTCTCTCAGCCCCACCTACCTCCCAGGGTGTCTGTTGTGGGGAGGGGAAGGGAGATGTAATGTATCCAGTCCAGACCGCGTGGCCTGCTTGGGCTCCACGCGGTCAGGCACAAACGTCGAGCTTCGCTCCAAGAGACAATGGACTATGCGGATCCTAGCCTGCTCCAATCAGGGGGCTAGGTTCCCGCACAAGAGCCTATGGGACTCTCGGCCACTGTAAATAACCTATTGGGAAGTGGAGGTGTGTTTTGGGTGGTGGTTTCTCGGGGAATATAAGCCGGCCAAAGTCGTTTTGTTCCTGATCGAATAAAGTACGCTTTGCTGAAATCACTCTCCATCTGCGTACTTTTCAGGAGAGAAGTTTGTAAGCTGCTCTGAGACTCCTTTGGGTAGTGAAGGGCGGGTATAAATCCGATCTCCTCCTCCTCCTTCTTCTTCTTCGTGTCATTTATCCCACCGTTTGTTTTCCACATTCCTGCAGGTGGGGAGATGGAGGAGCAAGAACTCGCCTCTGTGAAACTTCTGGAATCTCCGTATTTGCTGGACCTGTCCAAAACCAAGCAGCATTTTGTACCCGGGGCACCATTCGAAGTGCTGGTGTGTGTGTGTGTGTGTGTTGTTCTCTCTCCCAGTGCTGCAGCATGTCCCATGCCATATCAAGTGTATTTTATGGCCAAGGATGTCCCATATTGAATCCTAGTTTGCATCCTTGCTTTCTCTCTCTTCCTCTGTTATGGGTGGTGGAAAATGCTGACCAGTTGCAGGCTGACTTATGGCAACCCAGTAAGGTTTTTCAATGCAAGGGATGGTATTATTATTTATTTGATTTCTATCCCGCCCTCCCCGCAAGTGGGCTCATGGCGGGTTACAACACAGAAAGAAACAATACGAACTTTAAAATATTAAAGCATCACACTAAAACAATAAAACACAGTACAAGATGGCATTCTTAAACAATTTCCTAATATCCTGGCTCTGTGTGACGGAAAGGATAGAAGGCCTGAACAATGGGTCCCATGTTATAAACACAGCTCAATCCAGCATGTGGGCAGCTTAATCCAGCAATATGAGCAGCAGGGGCCCGATATTATTATGTTCAGGGCTATTTTTGGGCAGGAACGCACAGGAACGGAGTTCCGGCTGGCTCCTGAGTTGGCCACGCCCAGCGGGAACTCATTAGCATAATAGGCCACACCCAACAGCAGACACTCATTAGGATTGGCTACATTAGGGGTGTGTGGCCTAACATGCAAAGGAGTTCCTGCTACAAAAAATGCCCAGGGTTTTGACAACAAAGTAAACAGAATAAGAAGCAAAAGGAGGGTGTGGCTGGATACACTTCTGGTAACATGTGGGGTGTGGCCTAATATGCTAATGAGCTGTGCTGTCAGGGGTGTGGCCTAATAGGTTAATGTGTTTCTGCTGTTGGGTGTGGCCTATTATTCTAATGAGTTCCTGCTGGGCCTTTTCTACAAAAAACCCCCCTGATTATGTTCAGAGGTGATTTGCCATTGCCTGCCTCTGCGTCACAGCCCTGGTATTCCTTGGAGGTCTCCCATCCGAATACTAACCAGGGCCAACCCTACTTAGCTTCTGAGATCTCATGAGATTGGGCTAGCCTGGGCTGTCCAGGTCAGGGTCCCCTCTCACTACTTTTCTCAAACCTTTCTCGCCTGTCTTGTTTTCCTGCAGCTGTATCTTATAGCCACTGGAGGTCACTGTTCCACTAAGTGAACTCTCACGTGCAGAAGACAAACCTCTGGATGTCCTTTAAAGTTTTATTCAAGGTATAAACTTTCGTGTGCACGCACACTTTTTCAGATATCCGAAGAAGTGCGTGCGTGCACGCGAAAGCTTATACCCAGAATTAAACTTCGTTGGTCTTAAAGGTTCCACTGGACTCAAAGCTTTGTTCTGTTGTTTCAGACCGACACAGCTACCCCACCAGGGCTTTTATTGTAGAAAAACCCCATCTGGAACTCATTAGCATAATAGGCCACACCCAACAGCAGAAACGTATTAGCATATTAGACCACACCCTGGCAATGTGACTCATTAGCATATTAGGCCACACCCCATGCCTTCCCTTGGCTTGCCTGGGCACCCCGCACCCCCTTGAAGGGAAGGGAAGGCAGTTTAAACAGGCCGGGGAAGGCACGGGGAGGCATTTAAATGCCTCCCCAATCTTTCCAGGGCCCCCTTGGCTCACCTGCCTTGGAGTCACCGAGGGGGTGTCGCTCTCCAGGCCTTCCCTCTGTAGCCACGCACATGCAAAGGTTTTGGCTGTAGTGGGCGTGGCCTACTATGAAGCCAGCCGGAACTCCGTTCCTGTGTGTTCCTGCCCAAAAGTAGCCCTGTTAACCCCGCCTGATTCTTTCTGAATGTCCTGACAGTCTTCCTCAGCTAGATTTTCCTGAAAAAAGGAAATGGGGGGGGAGTATTTCTCAGCGCAGATGGAAGTTTGAATCAGGCATCGAGCTAGACTGTGTAATAGGAAGGCTTGCTTTGAAAACTTACACATTTTTACTAAGGCATGTCTTGAAACCTAGTACTATTTGGGGCTCACAGAAGCCTCGGAGAACAGGGAAGACTCAACATGTGATATTTGTCAAGCTGGAGATAAGCATGGGAATTCCTGGAAACAGGCTACTCAGATGTCATGTGCCGAGAGGGGGTAAACTGTGTTTTTGTGCCTTTGAGGGAGAGATCATCTGCGGAAACTAGGGAAAGCTGCAGATGAATAGAAGAGCAGGCGGGGGAAACTTGACACTGCGGAAAACCTCTGAAGAGTTCTTCAACTCTTCTTTTTTGTAACCCAGCTATTGCTTACTCCAACAATGGGCAGTTTCAGGATGGGCAAAACTACACAGGGGGGAAAGGATGAAGCCCTTTCTTCTCACATGCTGTGGCCCCAATCCAAATTGGGCCCTGCACACCTGGGAACTGATTTCCCAGAAGGGAACTCACAGGTGCATGTGAATCATACGGGACCAGGGTGGACTGGAGGAGGGTTAAGTTCACCCCTTTTGCCACGGAAGATTTCCCCATCTCTTAATTCCAGGAAAAGCGTTGTCTTAGATTATACTTCATAAACTTCTCCCTTTCTCCAGGCTACTGTTTCATTCTCAGATGGCACACCTGCCCCCCGCCTCCCAGTCCATTTCTCCGTCCAGATAACTGAGGGGCCATCCCCTGATAATGCCCTACTAGACACCGACAACCATGGGATGGTGAAATACAGGATCAACATCCCCGCTGGAGCAAAAAAAGTCACTTTTACGGTATGAAAATCCTTCTTGCGTTGGAAGAAGGCAGACGGGTACATTAAAGAAAGTAGAAGAAGGAGGGAGAATGGATAGTAGGAGAAAGGGAGGAGGCCCACAAGTCCTAGAGCTGGGGTCTCCATCTTGTGTATCCTGTGGACACTTTTGGAATTTGTGAAACAAGTAGTGTGTGCCACCACAAAATGGCTGCCATGGCAGGAGTGACCACACCACAAAATGGCTGCCATGCAAGCTGAAGTCAGCTACCAGATGTTGGAAGGTTACAAGCCAAGCGTTGTCTTATGACAGAGGCAGCTATTTCTGAATGGGTGCTCCCTGCAGATGCTAAGTATTGCTTCTCAGGATCTTCTGAAGCGTCTCCTGGTCCAACAGAGTAGAGGGAAGCCAGAAGTTTCCTGGACACCAGGAAACAGATTGGTGGGTGCCATGTTGGGGGATCGCTATGGTTGGTTCTAGAAACAGACATCCTGGGTTAGATCCTGTGGTCCGTCAGTCGGAGGTGCTGATGGTCACAGACGTTTCCCACATTCCTCTCTCTCCAGTAGTCCAAAAATCATGGGACCCACATGGACTAATAGTCAGAAAGCTGAAGTGTTGAGGGGAAGGGGATAGGGCTGCCTGGTATGGAAGACTGGGGGTGGGGACACGGGAGACTGCTGTTGGAAATCATGTGACGTCACTTCCAGCCACTGTGGTGTGGTGGTTAAGACTGGGAGACTCTAATTTGGAGAGCCGGGTTTGATTCCCCACTCCTCCCCATGAAACCTGCTGGGTGACCTTGGGCCAGTCATGGTTCTCTCAGAGCTTTCTCAGCCCTATCTGCCTGTTCTGGGGAGAGGAAGGGAAGGAGATTTTAAGCCTCTTTGAGACTCCTCAGGGTAGAGAAAAGCAGGGTAGGAAAACCTACTGTTCTTTTTCCTCTGGGGAAACCCAGATGTGTTGTCAGGTCTCTCTAGGAATCGCAGAAACTCTATGGTGATTCCTAGAGAGGACTGTCATCACTTCCAGGGAAGGCCTGAAAGTAATGTCACACCCCTCTAGGAATCGCTAGAAACTCTATGGAAATCCCAGAAGTGACATCACACCGTCTTCTCAACAGCATCTTTTAAAAAATTTGGAGCTGGGGGGCAGGTGATCCCCTGCCACCCCCAGCAGCCAATGTCACATTCTTTATGAATAACTTTCAAGATCCGGGATGCAGTATAACATAAGATGAACGTTATAACTTAGAAATCAGTATTACAAGGAGCAGAACTGACTTGTGGCTTCAGCCCTGACTCTGCTCATCTGCTGCTCATGTTAAGTACCAGCCGTTGAAGCGTATAGCGTCCTCACAGCCTAGCAATCCTGGAATGGGGTAGAAATTGCATTTCCTGCCCCATTAGTCAGTGCAGCTGATTCCTCCGGAGGAAGCTATGAGAGTTAAGTTATAAAACGTTCACCAGTTTATCGGATCGCCATAGGGTTTGCCAAGTGAGCTGCAAGTGTCTTTGTTGTCCCATACAGATAACTGCGGGGAGAGAGTCTCCATCAGAAACCACGCTGACTGCCACAGCCATGAATTCCCCGAGGGGCAGATACCTGATCATCGACAGCCCAAAGCACCAAGACTTGAATCCTGGAGAGACCCTCGATCTGGGGCTGAAACACGTTGGACCGGATGACTTCTCTAACTTCTACTACCTGGTGAGTCCTTGTGGCACGGTGATGGGCCCCCACCTTTCCTGGCTGAACGAACCTCTGAAACTAGAAGGGCTTGTCTTCTCTCAGCTTTAGATCTGCCCCTTGCCTGTTTTATTTGTTAAAAATAATTATATCCCAGCTTTCCCAGTGGCTGAAAACAGCTTAGACAGGGGTCGTTTCGTAGAAAAAGAGCTAGGGGAACTCATTAGCATAACTCATTAGCATATGCCACACACCCTGACATCACCGGAAGTGTGTCATAAAGCCACACACCCCGCCCCCAACGGTCCCAGCCGCCGCCGGCCTTGCAGCTCCACTGCCGAGCCCCATGAGGGGCCCGGCGGTGGACCTGCAAGGCCGGCGGGAGTGCAAGGAAGCCCCGCGAAGGCCCTCCCTGGCCCCAGGCAGGCAGGGGTGGGGAGAGGCAGGGAGGAAGCAACTTACCCTCCCTCTTCTCCTGCCTCCTCCTGGCTCAATGAGGGTCGGAAGTGGGGCGGCCGGAAGCAGGGGGCGGGGCTTCATCATGTGCCTCCCCCGTACCTCACCCGGGGGAACTGCGATCCCCCGCGTTCCCCCCCGAAATGACCTCTGAGCTTAGAGATCTTAATGTAAAAAAAAAAATCACAATTTAAAAACCAAGGACTTAGAACCGCAAACAACCCCTGTTGAAAGATACCTGCAGTTTGTACCCCGTTGAAAGCTGTGGAAAACGAAAGTTCTAAAGGTGATGCGTGCCCCCATCTCCTCAGGGAACACGCCCCACAACAATGGAGAAGGCACAGAGTCCGGTTGATGACAAAGGAGAACATCCAGTAGGATGCAGCCTGAGGAACACAGTTGGCCTGTTGAGGATACATTAGGGTTGCCAAGCTCCAGGCGATGGCTGGAGATCTCCTGGGATGACAACTGATTTCCCGGTGACAGAGATCAGTTCCCCTGGAAAAAATGGCTGCTTTGGAAGGTGGACTCTGTGGTTGAAATCCCTCCCTCCCCCAAACCCCACCCTCCTCAGGCTCCGCCCCCCCAAATCTCCAGGTATTTCCTAGGCAGACCTAGAATATATGGGTGGAAATAGATCTTTATTTAATAAATTAGAGTTTAAACTGCCCTCCCCTGTAAAAAAAAATAAAAGGGCTCAGGGCAGTGTACATCATGGAGTAAATACATAATACATAATTTAAGAAACAGTTAAAAACATTGAAGTCATTGGCAGGACAAAGCTCACTGGGGCTCTTATCCACACAGCTGTATACAAAATTAAAAATATCTAATTGTTTACTTCATTTATACCCTGCTTTTCTCCACAATGAGGACACAAAGTGGCTTACAACAGTCTCCCCTTCTCCATTTTATCATCAAAACGACAGCCCTGTGAGGTGGGTTTGGCGGAAGAGCGA